CTTCCTCCAATTCTTGTAATTCTGTCCTCTAATGTGTAGCTGGAGACTAATTTCTCTAAGTCTATGATGACTTTCCTTCCTTCCATTCTTAAATCTTCTGGTATTTCATTCACTCCATATGTGGTAGACTGTTGCAGCAAATAACCATGCCATCACCTGTGCTCTAGCTCTGCTTCCTCGACACCTCTTGGACATCCAGTGCACTTCCTCATTCCATGCCTTAGGTAGTCTATTTTCACCCATCCACCTCAGTAAAGAGGTCCATATATGTCTTGCATAGTTGCATTCAAATGACAAATGAGCTAAAGTTTCTGTAACTCCCATGGAACATAGTACATAATCCTTTGGAACATTTATCCCCCATTTCTCTAATTTGTCAACAGTTGCAAGTCTTTGTCTAATGGCTAACCATAAGATGAATTGGTGTCTAGGTATCTGCCTTGCCCCCATAATGAGATTTTTCCAAGGAACCTTCAGATATTGTGGTTGGAATGATAGATAAGCTTTCTTAATGATAAAACCATCACTACTGCTGCATTTTTTCAATTCCACCTTGTAGTCCCTGTCTTCAAACCAGCTTCTTGCATCAAAGATTTTCTTCACAAGCCAACAAGCTTGTGATGGGGTCTTCATAGTAGCTAGATCCTTGTTCTTTATATAGTATCCATGTATCCATTGCACCCATAGGGACTCTTTTCTTGATGTTACTGCCCACAACAACTTGCAAATAGCTGCTCTATTCCACAAGTTAAAGTCTATTAACTTCAGACCCCCTGCAGCCCTTGGCATATATAGTGATTCCCATGAGATTAGTGCTTTCCTAGATGCTTCACAGCTCTCAGTCCATAAAAAGGTTCTGCATATGCTTGTGATTAGTTGTATAACTTTCTTTGGCAGTACAAAGATCTGAGCCCAATATGTTTGCATTTCAAATAGAACACTCTTGATTAATTGTACTCTTCCACTATAAGACAAGAATTTAGTAGTCCAACACCTAATAATTGATATCCTTTTCTCCACAATTGGCATACATTGTTGAACAGTGATCTTCTTGGATAAGAGTGGAACTCCCAGATATTTGAATGGCAGTTCTTCTGATGCAAACTGCATTTCATTCAGAATCTATTCCTTCAGTTCTTGGGGAACCCCAACAATGTATAATGAACTCTTGTCAAAATTAGCCTTCAATCCTAACACACTAGAGAAGTGATTGAAAGCTTGAAGCATTAGTTGTATGGAAGTTCTGTCAGCCCCGCAACACATGAGAAAGTCATCAGTAAAACATATATGCACTATCTTCAATCTACTACATCCGTGGTGATAATTGAAGTCCGGGTTATACTGCAACTATTTTAAGGATATGTTAAGATATTCCATGATCAATACAGATAGATATAGGGACATAGGGTCACCCTGTCTCAGTCCTTTCCTTGCCATAAACTTTGGAGTAATTCCACCATTGATTAAGATGGCATAACTCACAGTAGTCACACACTCCATAATCCACCCAACAAATTTCCTAGGGAACACAAATTCTAGCAAGACAGATCTAAGAAAGTCTCATTCGACTGAGTCATATGCCTTTCTGATATCAACTTTAATAATGCACCTAGAAGAAATTCCCTTCTGCATATAACCTTTTACTAGCTCATGTGCAACAATGACATTATCTAGGATACTCCTTCCTGTTATGAATGCTGATTGTGAGGCTCCAACAATTTTGTATACTACTAATTTGAGTCTGGCAGTGAGAATTCTTGCTATTAACTTATACAAAGTTGTACATCAAGCTATGGGTCTATATTCCTTTGTATAAGTAGGATTGGTTACTTTTGGCACTAGGATAAGAGTGGTGTAATTTGCTTCTTTCAGCATTTTCCCAAATTCAAAGAATTGTAGGACAACTATGCTTACTTCCTCCCCTATTACACTCCAGTATTCTTTAAAAAACTCTGCATTAAATCCATCCACCCCTGGGGCCTTATCGTTTGGTAGCTCTTTCAATGCCTGTTGAACATCTCCTTTTGTTAGATCAGCAGCATTTGTTGATCTCTCTGTAAACAAGGGCCATCTTTTGCAGTGTGAGTGTCTAAGCAGGGTAATTCTTGTGCTCTGTTTCCCATCAAGTTTTTTAAATAATCTATGAATTCCTATTGTACCTGCTTTGGATCTGTTAGCTATACTCCTTACTCATTACATATAGTTGCAATATTGTTCCTAGCATGCCTTGCTTTGAGTTGGGCATAGAAAAACTTAGAGTTTGAATTACCCTGTGAGATCCAAACAACTCTGGATTTCTGTCTAAGGACTCTCTCCTGAATTATAGCCCATTTCTCCACTTCCAACACTATCTCTTTCTCTTCTATAATCAGTTGTGCATTGTAAAGATCTGTTGCCATTGCTTCCTGAGTTTCTTTAACCTTTGCTTGCAGGGCCTCAATTTTTTGATCTAGTTTATTCATTTCTTGATTCATCTGCTTTACAGCTTGTTCTATTTGCTTTAACTTCCTGCAAACTCCATATATAGCATAACCATCCACATTGGTTTCCCATATAGATTCCACCACTTCTTTGAATGAATGTTGCTTCAGCAGGACATTGAGAAGTCTAAATGATTTTGAAAGTTTTTGTCTGACAATAGTAGTAGTTAATAGTATAGGGGAGTGGTCTGAACAACCAGGATTTAGGTAGTGAGCTTCTATACTGCTATACATGCTAAACCACTGAGCATTGCCAAATGCCCAATCTATCAAGCTATAAATTCTATTTCTAGGATCCCTTTTGTTGCACCAAGAGTACTGCCATCCCTTTCTTCTGATCTGACCTAGCCCAACTTCATCCACACAATCTTGGAAATCCTGTGTTTCAATCTGTTGAACTGGTGCTCCATGATTCTGTCAGTAACAGATAATATTGTATTGAAATCCCCAAGAATGATCCAAGGATCTACCATCAGGTTGTTAATTGATCTCACTTGTCTCCAAATGTCTTTCCTTCCTTCTATGGTGTTGTATCCATATACAAATATTGCATAACAACGCAAATTGAGAGCCATTATCCTTCACTTTGTAGTGAACAATTTGAGGTCCTAAAATCTGTACATCAACTTCCACCAGTTGTGGTTTCCAGCAGACCCATATTCTTCCATTTGGGCAACCTATATAATCACAGTGAACCTGCCACTCTGCCCCTAACTTCTTTTGTATCTTCCCTGCTCTTCTAGCCTTAACTTTTGTTTCTAGGCAGCCCAAAAGAGCCATTTTATTTGTAAGTAGAAAGGATTTGAATTCCTTCTGCTTATAGGGCTTATTCAACCCTCTAATGTTCCATGATCCAAGGATCATGGGGGCTACTTGGTTAGATTTGTGTCCCTTACCACATTGCTAGTGGTAACCTCTGGGTGTATTCTTAAAGCACTGAATTGATTTCTTCTAAGCATCAGTTCCAGTTTATCAAACTCCTAATTTTTTTTTCTGTAGTAGCTGGTATGACCCTCTTTCCCCGATCAATCTGTTTCCTCTGCTGTTGCTCATCACCTTTAGTTGCTTGCTCATTCTTAGGCTGCTCCTTGCTAGTACCCTGCTCAGTTAGTTGCACATTATTCTGATTATCACCTGTCTGATTAGGCATAGTCTTAGCTTTCCATTCCAGCTTCATGTGTTTCTTTTTGATATTCTGTTGAGGCTGTTTATATTCTGCTGGTCTCTCCTTGCAATTCCCTGTGATATGTCCAACTTTCAAGCAATCTTGACAGTATATAGGCTTCCATTCATACTCAATGGACTGTGAGTAGTATTTTCCGTCATGTAATTCAAGAGAAAGTGAATCTGGCAGAGGCTGGGATATATCCATCTTTATCAATATCCTAGCATAAACAATCCTTTGCTCTTGAGTAGTTAGTTTATCAGCGCATATAGGATTCCCAAGACAGCTTGCTATTCTACCCAAATTGCCAGAAGCCCAAAATTGGATTGGCAGATTTGGAAACATAACCCACATCGGAACAATTTGAGTAGATTCCTTGTGCATTTGAAACTCTGGATCCTACTGTTTCAGAATAAAATGCCTATAATTGAACGTGTATGGCCCTTGTTGAAGAATCACTGCTTTATCTTCCTCATTCTCAAACTTGAAGATGAAATACCCAGTGTTATGGAGAAATACATGAGGCATACTAACGAAATTCTATACTCCATACACAAATTTGAGCATTTCCTTGAAGGTAGGGTTCCTACCAATCACATACCCAATTAACGCTAGACTCCACTTCTGATTCTGTTTAGCTATCTCCTGGGGGTTTAGCTTAACTACTTTCACTCCATCTTTCAAAATCGGTGGAAAGTAATTTAACTTCAATCCCGTGTGTTGCTCTCTATTTCCTCTAACAACTTCAGCCATCGTAGGTTTAATTCCACTATACGTTGCAGAGAAAGTCAATTTCCTCGCCGCATTCATAGCTCCTGCATCAAGTTTCGGCGGAGTTTCTGCAATTTCCAGTGGAGGTCCTGCTTGTAACATTGTAGGAGCACTCCCCATTCCTGGGAGCCAGTGACCTAATTGAATCGATGCTAAGGTATGGGGAATGCCTGATTCTGATGTTATCTGTCTAGTTTCCAGCACCGGAGCTTTTGGCGAGACCGGTGCCGGACCTAGTTGCTTCTTTTTCCTCGTTATCTCCGCTTAGGCACATGTTAGTAAATCCTAACGTAATATGCGCCGTCAGAGCTTTTTTAATTGGTCTTAATATTTTCCTGTTGAGGTTTTCTACCCCAACTTATCATTGAATTTTATTGGGCAAGTTATTTATTTGGCCGGTCAATCAAAAATAATTACATGTACTAGTCAAATATAAAAAAATATTATAATAAAATATGTATACTATATATTAATATATAAAAATATACATATTATATTATTTTTGGGAAGGGCTATAGTATGTAATTTTTCCGTTGTTTTTTTTGTACGCCCAAATTTGAACAGCCTGCGTGTATTACATTCAAGTGACCTAAAGCGACGCCGTCGCACGAAACCTGTTGGCTTCACAGAAAAAGAAGACTAGGAGCAACCAGCTGGGAGGGGCAGAAAGATGGCGGGTCAACTGAAAAATCCTAAAAAACAGTTTCAGCTAAACCCTAACTGGGCTCAGCTCCGTGAAGTAAATTCACTTCCTCACTCCACTTTTTCATTTTCTCTTCCCAACGAACTTTACTTTGTATTTCTGATATCTATTATGCACTCTATTTCTCATTCTGCAGCAATTAAAGAGTAATGGCTTCAAAAAGCCTTCAGAAGCATCAGAAACAGAAATCCCTAATTCCATATTAGGTATAAGCCAGGTTCCTTTTTTTGTAATGGTCTAAGTATTTAAAGTTGTCTAAGTTTTATGCTTACAATGGTTTGTTGTCTACAGGAAAGCGCAAAAGTAGGCCCGGTGATGATTCTTGTGATGCTCGGCCTAATCCTCTTATTCCAACTTCATCAGATTCAAGGTGAGTTCAGAAAAAATATGCCTTTTTTTTTGCTTCCTTGTCTTTTTTTTTGGGGGTGGGGCGCTAGATTCATTATCTGTTTGGATACCTTTTATAAAAGATTAAATTTTTAGGATATTATATTGTTGGAGTAAAATTGTGGCTATATAAAAAGCTAAGCTTCACACTTTCCTGTTCTTATTTAAACCTCCGATAATTCAAGTGTGATTGAGTAAAATCTTTAATGTTCTGCAATTTAATCATTAGCTGCATATGCAGTGTTACCGATGTGATAGCAATGGATTGTGAAATGGTTGGTGTAAGCTCTAACAAAAGTGCTCTTGGGCGAGTCACACTGGTATTCCTCAATCGTACCTTCTCATTAAATACTTCTTCACTACATTTAGCAAATGGTTTTACTAGCAACTGTTTTTGGTTGCTTGATGCTAAGAATAATCTTTTGGTTAAATAGTTATAAGCATAGACTGCACTAACATTTTCATAAATAAGCCGTTTATATCCAACTGATAAGTTCTCTTCTAGCTGGTCCTTCCTCTTTTGAGTCAGGGACGGAGCTGACCTTGTCCAAGGAAGGTCAATTGACACCCCGTCGCAAAATTACACTGTATAGATCGGTCAAAAAATATATTTTTATGCATATATACTATATGTTGAATCTCTTTGACTTTTGTGTGTGTTTAATTCTTTCTTTTTTTGACTCCGCTCAATGAAAAAACTAACTTCGCCACTGTTATGCATATCATTCTTCTTTCTTCTTATGGATATGTGAACTTTTAGTACAAGAATTTTTGATGTTGCTATGTTAAAGCTTCTAATTGTTTCCCTACAAAACAAAACTGACATGTTTTAATTGTCGGGGATACATTCCATTAGTTGTTCTCAGTACAATATTGTTGTTTACGAAATGCCTCATTGCTTTTTTATTAGATTTATGCATGTACAATTAAATGCAAACCAGCTTATGTCAGGTCAACAAATGGGGAAATGTGATATATGACGAATTTGTCCGTCCAGTTGAACGTGTTGTTGACTTCCGCACCAAAATAAGTGGGATTAGACCTCAACACTTAAAAAAAGGTTGGTTTCACTTCTCTCCGCTCATTAGAAAAGTTACCAACAGAAGGAGAAGTTTCTAGTCTGGTGTCTTGGAAGAATTATGACTACAGGAAAGTCAATCCTTGCTAAAGAAGCAGAAGACTGAATTTTTTGTACTATTTGCATCTGCTTGACACCATTAACAATATCACTTCATCAAAAAAGATAAAAATAAAGTAGAGACAGCAAATTGAAAACCTTTCTTCTGTTATTATAATTTAGTATGTTAAGTTACAGCCGTCTGAGAAGCAGTGTGGAATTACTTTTGTACGTTAAGTTGCAGCCATTCTAGAAGCATTGTAGAATTTTCTCAATTCTATTCATCTGATTTGATCCTCAAAATTTTCCCACGTGGAGTCGGAATGGAGATTTAGCTTCTTTTAAAAATGCAGATTCCCATCCCAATGCTCATAGATCATCACCATATTCTAGAGTTGAAGATCGTCTTGCTTGAAACTACTTTCAGAGCTGCAAACGTCAGACAGCTCCCCGGTCCCCTCCTGAAACCTATAATATCTCCCTTTCCTTAGCAACTGGATGTTTGTACTAAGGTAGCATCACATTTAGTCGTTCACGAGCTCTTTTTTCTAATAATGTACTCTTATATGATTTCTGCCCTAGAATAATCACCTCATTATCCATAGTTTCCTGTAGTAGTGTTACTTTCGCGGGAAAATAATTTCAAACCACACAAATTTGACTCGAAAGGTTATTGTTAATATTGAGTTTTTTCCCATTCTTAATACATTTAAGGACCGTTTGATTCCTGGGATTAGGATTCTAATTCCAGGATAAAATTTATGATTATGTTTATCCTTTGTTTGGTTAAAGATTATATCTATCCAGTATTTTGTTAATGATTATGTTTATCCAGTGTTTGGTTACCCTTATTAGCTAATACCAGTATCAATTTATACCAAAATCTTGGTATTATTTATCCCATTATGGATGTAGGATAATAATCCCAGGATTAGCTTTACCTGGGTAAATTTATCAAAATTACTATATTACCCTTCAGGAGCTCTTTTCATTGTCATCGTTGAACTATCTAAGGTTAAATTAAAATAAATTTATCCAGCTTCTTCAGACTGAACACATGTTTGGGATTATACTCCGGATATTCCATTTCCAATTAATGAACCAAACAAAGCACTTACTAAATAATTCAAGGATTATTAATCCTAATATTATAATAACTAGAAACCGTTGACAGTATTAGTCTCAAGGTTAACTTCTTGCGGATGTTTTCCTTGCCTTAGCTCAATTCAGTAACTCAAAAGCTCTTACGGTTACTTAAAAGAATCACTAAAGAAAACTAAACCATATGATGTAAAGATATTCATGAAACTATGCTATTTGTCTTTTGATTAAAATAGAATAATGAATAACTTCACTATTCCATTTGGAAACCCATCAAAATTCAAGCATTTAAACAAGAATCAAATCCACAAATAACGATCAATACACCATGTCTGTCAAAAGCCTAATAGGAAACTACTCCATAAATGAAGAGAAGCACATCGTAATTAAGAAATAAGAACTAAAAAACATTACAACTAACTTCTGAATTCAAATGCACATTTTTAATTTATTGTTGATGAAAAATGTATTTAATTCATGTGTCCTTGAGCTCTAGCCATCTTCTCAATCTTTCGTAGGTCAAAAGTTCCATTCAAAATTGTGTTTTCCATGTTTATTCCCTGTAGAAACTACCTTGAACCAAAATACCTCTAATGAGCCGAAACTGACTTCATTGCATGGGAGAATAGCCTGGCACGCCGCAAGGCACGAAGCATTGCGTGATGTGCTCGGAGGATATTTTTTTTTGCATGTTTGGATTGATCAGGCTTGACACCTCGCCAGGTGCAACGTGCCGTGATAGGTCATTTCTAAGCTTTCAACATTTTTCTTCAATTTTTCTCATGCACACTTGGTTCTCGGCCCCCGAGCTTGATCTCAGTTGAATTTCTTAGACTTTTACTCTGACTTCGAAGCTCTTTTAGCTCCAAATTAGTTCCTCTGCTCGGAATCAAGCCTACACAACCAAACACACACGATAAGTATATAATACTCATTTTATAGGTCAAATACGATTAAAGCATAAGAAATAAAAAGCGAAATGCAGCCAAAAACATATTTTTCTTGCCAACCTTCATCTAGCATCTCGTTTATGTTAGGAAATTCTAAGATGGTTTTGACTACCATAGCTGATGCGGGACATTGAAAGAAGCACATTTAGTTGGGCATGTGATGTTGCTCCACTGGTAATTATGTGGGTCTTATAGAGAGAAATAAGAGAGCTTTTGGAGGTGTAGAGAATAATTTTGTAAATTTCAAAAATAACCTCTTACCCTTCTTTTTTGTGCCACTATGAAGTTCCTATATATACAAATCATATGTTTTATAGAATTTTGTGCTTGTATACAAGTTTTTTTCTTTTTTAAATAATGGTGGTGTTCGGAACAGCTTTTGCCCAACTTGATATTGGTGTTTTTTCCCTATCATTAATTTCTTTCGATAATAGTGGTGTCTGGACCACCTTGCACGCGCCTCAACTAAATTCATTGGCTTGGTACAAAATACTCTAAGTTCTCAACTATATCTAAAAAGAAAAGTAAGATTCATTGCATATTCTACATAAAAAGAAACATAAAAAGAAAACAGTAGTAAAATATTTATAATTTGTTAACTTAAAGAAAGAAAGAATGAAGGAAAAGAAATAGCAAAAGTTAGGAGTGGTTGACAGAAGCGAGAAGAAAATGATGATTGGTTATGAAGAGGAAGAAAGAGGTAAAAGTGTGAATATAAAAATTCTTAACAAATTAACGATTTATCCAATTAGGAAATTGAGTAATCCACCTCCAAATCGTTAAGCCGTTAATTATAAATTTTCAATCAGTTCACCAACCATTACCCCGATAATCCGATACCAATAAGCCAATAAGTCAATTTTGCAGTTCGGTTAACAATTACCGTTCGGTTTTGAACAACCTACCACCGACAGCCTTGAAAAAAAAAAATTCTTTCTCTTCTCCCAGTTCGTTGGAACCACTTTGGTCTTATCTCGAGGGAACAAATAGGCGTGCGCCTACTGAGGTGATGATAATTCAAAAGCTTTTTTTTTTGCAAAAAATAAGGGCCCTGTTCCTAGATCCCTTCCGCTCCGCTCGTTCCGAGTCAGGATTTAAGAATGAGAGTCATCCTCGCTGCTCCACGCAGTCTCTACCAATGATCCTTACAAGCCAGAGCAGATTAAAGTTTCACTTATGTAGTGTCTCTTAATGTCATAATTAGTGTTTCCAACTTTGAAGAGAGATCAAAACACTGAGAAACCAAGCTACCTTGTTTTGGCTTCCACTGGACTGATGAAGAATATCAGTCAATTGTATTGCATTATTTGTGGATGGTAAGTGAATGTGTATTTTGTTGTGGTAATGGGTGCTAAGAGTGTAACAACCTAATGGGGTGGAACCTAAACTCCAAGGTGGATGTCTAGCTGTTTTATCTACTTGAGTTGAGTAAACTAGAAATGAATTAACAAATATGAAGCAAAATGCAACAATTGTTAAGAAAAGAGAAATAAGTGATTTTGGCGAATGAATTGTTTGATTATTCCCGCAAGTATTTTAGTTTCTAAACTATGTTTATAATTAATCTAAAGAAGGTAAGTATAATATTCCTAATAAATATAGGGGTTTAACCATTTCCATATCTTCAAGGGGATAGATTCTAGCAATATATATGATCCCATAGTATACACATTCTTACCATTCCCTTTTAAGTTGTAGTGTACTTCTTGTATTCTTTTAATTTACCGCAAGTACACAATATTATGGAGTCACAAAGTGATGTTGTGAGAATATACAACAACAACAAACCCAGTATAATCCCACATGTGGGGTATGGGGAGGGTATTGTATGCGGAGTTCTTCCCTATATTGTAAGAATATATGCTAATTAATTATTCGGGTTGAACAAACTTGTTGTACACCCAAATTCAATCTTTTGTCAAATAAAATAGCATTCTTATTCTTAGATGCTTTGTTCTTTCATGAAATTTTGGATTTGAATTCTTAAAATAGAGACTCAAATTTTTGACTCTGATACCAGAAAGAGAAATAAGAGATGTTAGGAATGAAGTGTTTGATTGTTCCCTCAAACATGTTCGAGTTCCAATAGTGTTTGCAAGTAATCTAAAAAGGGTAAATATAGGATTCCTACTCCTAATTACATGGATACCTGGGTGCTCTAAACCTTTCTATATTTTTAAGGTATAGATTCTTCCCATATTGCTTCTTCTATGGCTTCTATGTTACCGTATTTCCTTTCATTATTTTGGTGCTTGTGCTTTACTTGAGCCGAAGATCTATTGGAAACAGCCTCTCTACCTCATAGAGGTAAAGTTTGCGTACACACTACCTTCCCCAGAGGATTACATTGGGTATGTTGTTGTAGATTCTTCCTATATTGACGATTCCCTAATGTTTACATCCTTAACAGGAATAATGAAAGAGGGTTATCTCTACTCACCAATATTGGCTTTTAAAAAGCAATAAATAATACAAAAAACTATAAAGGGAGAAGAGAGAAAATGAAAAGAATAGAGAGAGTTTAGGAGAATGAGAGAGAATGATCTTTTCATGAACTATGTTCATTTGGTGTTATTCCAACCTTTCAAAATAAGTATAGGAGGATTTTGTTGATTCAATAATGGGTTCTGAACAAGTTATAACTCTTAAATGTCTTTGTCGAAAAAAACTCTTAAATCAAAAAAAGTTATAGCTCTTGAAATCTTTGGAATTCTAACTTAACTGAAAAAATTAGACTAGATAAAAACCTTATATCCTGCTAAAACATAAGTTTATCTTCATTTTATTTCTACCTAAAAGAGACGTACTGTATAATAAAAAAATTAAAGAAAATAATATTGCAATCTTTGTTGAACCACATCACTAGTTTAATTGTTCAAAGTTGAATAGTCTGTTGGTTTATCCGTAATCTGAAAGGTTTATATTTTTGTTTTGTATTAATGGTTTTTAGCGGTCAGTTTGAACTAGTACTAGCTTGACTTTGATTTGGACAAGTATTTATGGACAGGGTAATTCCATTTTGGTGAACACCGCTGTCTGCAAGTTATATGCTCAAAGCATATCAAAAATATTTTATTTGTTTTGTCTGAATAACATGCACTTCTGATGTTATCTGCAGCGAAAGATTTTCGCATCGTTCAGAAGGAGGTGGCTGAACTAATAAAGGGACGGATTCTTGTCGGCCATGCTCTGAGAAATGATTTTAAGGTAACTGTGCACCTTCTCAGACTTTGCATCTGGAGTACTTTCTATAACTTTTTGAGAATTTTTTTCCTTTACAGGCCTTGTTATTAAACCATCCAAAGCAGGATATTCGTGATACTTCTGAGTTTCAACATTTTCTGAGGTAATTTTCACCTCGCCCCTGCCTCCCCACCAAAAAGAAATGCTTGGTTCCTTGCGGCTTTCAGCTATCAGCCTGTATTTTAGCTGCAATATGTTTCTGACATTGGGTTGATAAAGTAGGGAAGGACGCAGTCGCGCGCTTCGGCACCTTGCCACTGAAGTCCTTGGAGTGGAGATTCAAAACGGAGAGCACTGCCCAGTTAGTTCTATGCTTTTAATGACTTTATTGTGCTCTTATACTTTATTTTCTTGTAATTTTTCATCCTAACAAATGGAATCCTTACTGTATGTGCTTTAATGTACTGTAGTGTTTGAATCTGGTTTTACAGAATGAGTATCAAAATTTGAATTTTATAGCAGCTTGTCAGTTTATTATCCTAGGTCCATATCCGAATGATGTCTAACTTGTATCCATAATGTTGTGCAGATAGAAGATGCCCGTGCTGCTATGATGCTTTACCTAAAGCGCAGAAAGGAATGGGAAAAGAGCGTCAAGGACTTTGTAAGGCTCAAGGAGAAACAGAAAAAGCGCAAGCCAAAGAAAAAAACAGGCGTATTGAGAAGACCTGCATCTGAATAATGCTGAAAATTCTTCCTAATGAGATGATAACTCAAATTTATCTCTTTGCTCGTTACATGCGTCAAATTACTGACTGGGGGGAGCGAGAGACCTGACTAAAACATGGTAGATGTTGAAGGATGTGAGGTGCCCCAGGGAAGAAATATAATTGGACCCTCTATCACTATTGTGGTCTGCCAAATTTTGTGCTCACTGGACCTTATTTTAGTTTAAAGAATCACAATATGGATCCACCCAAGACTGGTTCTTCTAATGAAAGAAGGAAAATTGTCGCTTCTTTCGTGCTTTTTCACCAAAGAACTGCCAGTCTTTTGTGCTAGATTCATATAGCCTAAGCTTCCATGTTAGCGCTTTGCTTACCTCTTGTAGAATTGAGCAGTCGTTTCATATTTACTATCTTTTCCTTTTGGAAAAGAACGGGATTTCATCAGAACTAAATATTGTAAACCAGGGCAATTAGGAAAGAGTTGCTAGAATTCTATTTACAATGTGGCATATTTTGCTTACAGCATCTTCCAGAGGGGCCTTAGTTTACAGCATTTTCCAGAGAGGCTTTTGTTTGATTCTAATTGTTGTTTTTGCAGAACAGTTTGTATCATATGAAACAATATTGGACTATTGAGTTGCTGTGATGGTAGTTGAAAAGTGTTGATAGTCTAGTAATGACACTGCTGATCATTGTAATATCTCTTCTTCTTTTCTGTAGCTGAGCATATAACTTTCTCGGCCTTTTGGCTAAGATCAGGTGTAATATCTGTTCTTATCAGATTTGATACGGTTCATCAGCTCACATGATATTAACTCAATTTTCTGTAGCTTATGCTTACTAAAGCTGTGTATCTGGCAATTGGAACTGTGTATCATGTGAAATTGAGATAACCTTTGGCTATTGACATGAAATGCTTGGAGTTTATCTGTAACTTTACATACCAAAAATCATCAGATAATTATTCAACTATTCAAGTCAATGAGCAATAGTAGCTCATTTGTTAATGAAATAGCAGGTCCACAGCTCAGTTGCTGGAATTTGCTTGGAGGAAGTTCATAAACTGAAATTATCCTCATGAACCAACTAATGTTCAGCTCATGCAAGCTGGGGTGACAGATATAGTGAACTTTTCCATATTGTTTTAGTTTCGTTGAAGAAAATAAAAATACTCCTTAAAAAGATGAAATCAAGGTTAGTTTGGTCTTTTATCCTCGAAAGCGAACTCCCTTTATTTATTCCATGTTGGAGTAGTATAATTTTGTTTACTTCTCCAAGGAGCTCTCCACTTTGCTCCCTTGATGACTCGAACCTGTAACCTCAAAATTGGAGATCGAAGATGCTTACCAGTTTAGCAACTCAATTCGTCGTGGATCAATATAAATTAAAACTGAAATTGTGGAATAAAATTATATATCGCTTATACGGGAAACAATATGCAACCAAACACAATATAAAAAAATAGTATCTTATATTCCTTATCTCGATGACCAAAAGCTTCCTTAGGGTACGGCTTGACATCTTATTAGCCGCTTAAGAAATTCAATTCTAGTGATTAGTTGTAATAATTTTTTGATTTCCTAACTGAAAAATGCTAAAAATATATTGCGACTTTAGCTATCAGCCTTTTAATACAGGGAATTGGCTCAAATATGGCAACGAACTTACAGAGAAATGACTCACATATGCCACTCATTAATAGTTGGTCTGAATATGCTGCAATTATTACCATTTTGGGCCATATGTGCCGTTTCAATCCACTATCGGAACCCCACCTTGTATAATTAGGATAAAATTTTGCCACGCCACATTATTTAAACCCTCTATTACTTACCAATGCTCCTCCTATCTCATCATATTTTACGAGCCTTTTCCCAAGTCACCATCACGTTTCAACCACTGTAACACCCCAAATCCCACAATGAACACACGTGCATATTCTTATTTTACATACTCATACTCTCCATACCCAGCTTCATATGTCCCAGCATCACTACATATTTCGACAAAGTGTGCTACATGTTGCTTTAGATTTTTCTTACCATCAAACTGTTGAAATTGAGCATCCTTAAGCTATTGATCCTTGTATTATACGCTTTTGCGTACGTAAGAGAGAACATGACAACAACTTCATACTCATCCTTGATAGTCCCATTGATGAATTCTTTTAGTTGGTCGATTGGAATATCCTTGGATTTCCTTGGCAGGTATTACTTGTTTGTGGGAAGATCAATATGTGGCAATATTTTAAAGACTTTGTTGACAATTGTTATAATCAAAGTCAAGTGGCATCTCTTCTAGAAGACATTAGAAAAGTGGCAAAATATCTTGACAAAGTGGCAAATTCCATCAGCCACTTTCTTGCCATGCACAACAAGTCTTCATGCAAATGAGGCTATAAATAGCCAGTACCAATCACTCATTTTTCATCAATAATCATTATCATGACAAAGAAATCATTCTTCTTCTTTCCTTCTAAATTTCTTTATTCTCCACCTTACCTTTGTTATCTTTCTTTTTGGTAGTTTAATTTCTCTTGTTCCCCTCTTTTAAATAGCTGGATTTGTAATTTAATATTTTGCTGATTAGTGTATCCTCTAATAAATTAGAGATGAACTTGTTTAATCTTGGGGAAACATTTCACATTGCTGAAATAGTTTCTTAGGACAGTGCCCAGCATGACTCAAGTCAATCCGTGTATCCTCTTACAAATAATATTGAAGCAGTATTATTATTGTTATTTTTCAGTGTCATTTCCCTACAATCTAAGAAACTATGGCAAGTAATACTACTGCCGAAATTTTTGATGGTGCTACCAATTTTGGTGTTATCTCCGCTGCTACTGTTCCATCTGTCCTGCCAGATATCCATGGTGTTGCAAATACGTTATTGTATCCAAAACTTTGGCAGACACTAATGTCAAAACACAGGTACGTGAATAGACATGGTTACATATCCAATAATAAAATTAAAACCTTCAAGAAAAATACACCTCAATGGAAGAGAAGAGTTAGGATAAATGATAATCTCGCTAAGTCAAAATTAAATTTGACTAAAGCAGATAATATTATTGTTGCGGTCATTAAGCAAATAAATAACAATATTAGAAATTGGGTGATAGACTCTGGTGCTACTAGGCACATTTGTGCAGACAAAAATGAAGAAACTATTTAGAGGAAGGAGAAGAAACTATTTATCTTGATGACTAAAGAACAACTCGTGTTCTTGGGAAAGGAAAAATTCTTCTCAAACTCACATATGGTAAAACTAAAGCATTGAGTGATGTATTACATGTTCCTAATATCCAAACCAATTTGGTTTCTGTGGGATTATTAGAAAAAGTTGGAGTGGAGGTTTCTTTCGAGAATGATGAGGTCGTATTGACCGAAAATGATATTTTTGTGGGCAATGGATATTGTAACCATGGTTTGTTTGTACTTAATACTTCCGATACTAGCAATAAAAATGCATCTTCTTCTGCTTATATGGTTGAGTCAATTTCTTTGTGGCATGCTAGACTAGGACATGTTAATGTCGCGTATATAAAGAAAATGCAGCCGCTAAGATTAATATCTGATTTAAACTCAAGCAATATTAACAAGTGTGAAATATGTGCTGAAGCTAAAAGTACTAGAAAGACTTATTTTTTTATAAATAGAGAAACTGAATTGTTATCTTTAATTCATACTGATTTAGGCGACTTGAAGCAGACAATGACTAGAGGTGGTAAAAGATATTATGTGACTTTTATTGATGATTTTTCTAGATATACGAAGTTGTATTTGCTTAGAAATAAAGATAATGCATTTAATGCTTTTATTTCTTATAAAACTGAGGTTGAAAATCAACTTAGTAGAAAAATCAAGAGAATTAGATCTAATAAAGTTGGAGAATATTTATCTTTAAATGATTTTTGTAAAAAAAAATGAAATTATTCATGAAGTAACTCCGCCTTATTCACCCAAGTCAAATGGAGTAGCTGAAAGAAAAAATAGAACATTAAAAGAGATGATGAACTCTATGTTAGTTAGTTCTAATGCTCCTGATAATTTATGGGGTGAAGCTATTTTATCTGCATGTCACTTACAAAATATAATACTACATAGAAGAATCGACAAAACTCCTTATGAATTATGGAAGGGTTATAAACCTAACTTAAAATATTTAAAAGTGTGGGGGTGCCTTGCTAAAGTTCTTTTGCCTGAACCTAAAAAGAGGAAAATAGGTTCTAAAACTACTGATTGCATATGCTGAACATAGTATAGATTTCTTATTTTAAAAAGTAATGTGCTTGATTGCAATACTATAATTGAGACAAAGAATGCTGAGTTCTTTGAATATATTTATCCACTGTCTAACAAAATGCCTCATACACCTGTTGAAACAAATAATGAGATTACCTCTAATAAGGAGCTGAGAAAGAGCAAAAGGCCTAGGAAAGAATTTTTTTCTTATGGAAATGATTTTCAAACCTTTTTTGTCAATAATGAACCATCAAATTATTTTGAAGCTATATCTTCTTTTTAGAAGCTAATTATTGGAAAAAGGCAATAAAAGTTGAAATTGATTCTATTATGAAAAATAATACATGGATTTTAACTGATTTACCTCCTGGTGCAAAACCTATTAGTTGTAAATGAATTTTCAAAAAGAAATTTAATTCTGATGGATCTTTAGATAAATATAAAGCTCGGTTAGTAGCAAAAGGATTTTCTCAAAAATAAAATATAGATTATTTTGATACATTTGCACCAGTGACTAGAATTTCTCATATTCGAGTTTTAATTATCTTAGCTTCAATCCATAAGCTTTTTATCCACCAAAATGGATGTCAAAACTGCTTTTCTAAATGGTGATTTAGAAGAAGAGATTTATATGGTTCAACCTGAAGGTTGTGTCATTCCTGGACAAAAAAATAAAGTTTATAAATTAATTAAATCTCTTTATGGCCTTAAACAAGCTCCTAAGCAGTGGTATGAGAAATTTGAACAAGTCTTACTGAGAGACTGTTTTTCTTCAGTTGAGGTACATAAATGTGTTTATACTAAAGTGGTAGACAATGAATATGTGATAATATGTCTGTATGTTGATGACATGCTTATATTTGGTACAAATTTAAATATTGTGCAAAGTACTAAATTATTTTTGTCTGCTAATTTTGATATGAAAGATCTAGGTGAAGTAAATATGATATTGGGAGTTAAAGTTATAAGGAGTGAAGATGTCATAATGTTGTCACAAGAATATTATGTTGAGAGACTTCTTAAGAAGTTTGAATATTTTAAAGTCACACTAGTGAGCACTCCTTTTGATGCTAACTCTCAATTGAAAAAGAATAATGGTGACCCAATTGCTCAGTCTAAATATGCTCAGATTATTGGGAGTCTAATGCATTTAATGAATTTTACAAGGCCTGATATAGCCTATGGTGTATGTAGATTGAGTAGATATACTCATAATCCCAACATGGAGCATTGGTCTGCATTAGATAGACTAATGAAATATTTGATAGGAACCATGCATTATGGTATCCTATATAGTGGATTCCTTCTATTTTAGAAGGGTACAGTGATGCAAACTGGATCTCTAATTCAGATGAGACAAAATTCACTAGTGGTTATGTATTCACCTTTGGTGGTGGTACAATATTGTGGAAATCAGCTAAACAGACGATCATCGCTAGATCGACTATAGAGTCAGAGTTTGTAGCTCTGGAGTTAGCTGGTTCTGAGGCTAAGTGGCTAAGAAACTTCTTAGCTAATATCCCTTTAATAAAGGATGTATTGCCTCCTCTGTCTATGCATTGTGATTGTCAAGCGGCAATAGCTA